TCTTTTATGCCGTTTTCTCAACCTCTAAGCCTTTTATATATATTTAGTCAAGACAACATTTCTTCCTTCTAGGATTCCAGATTCATTGTTTGTACCCAAATACTACCTTTGGTCCTTAATATAGGACACAACTAACTAACTTAAAAGGATTAAAGAAATTAAATAAACTAATTTTAAGTATTATATTTATCATCTTTCTCTAAATTAATTTGCTTGACTTATAAACTAATATATAATCTAATGATGCATTAAATATTTTAGAGAGATCACATAATGAATGCTATAATTAAGTAATTATTTTACTTCTTTAATTTTTTTCAAATTAGTCCATTATAGTAAGAAGAAGAAGAAGTGGGAATAAGTAGAGAGAAAACATGATATGAGACAGGATCTAAGAGAATAAGATTAACTGACGTTTATAGAAGTTCATGAATTTGGTTATTTTCCCCCTTTTTAAAAAGTTCATATATATTTTTGCATCCAAGTAAACTTTATGGTACCTAGTGCCACTTGATGTAAACTTTATTGTTAAAAATAAACCTTAAAACTAACTTTGTAGGCCCCACTAACAGTAAACTAACAAACATTAATAACATGATATCGGATGTATCCTTTTGATAACTTCATGTGTATTTTTACATCCAAGTAAATTTTATAGTACTCAGTACCTTTAGGATAAACTTTGTTATTAAAATTGTACTTGAACTCTTAATAAAAACTATACAATTGAAGGAGGAAAGCAATGAAAATACTTTTTTATTTATATTTTTTTTTTCCAAAAAGGAAGTTCTTGAAGTGAAGGTAAGATGGAGTTTCATAGGATTGTGTTTGCTGATAGTTCTCCCTTTCTTGGAAGCAATGATATTACACAGGCCATTTTCTCCTTTTCAATGGGACACAAAATAAAAGTTGAAACTTCTACAATTACGGAAAAAAAAATATATCTATTTACATACATTCATATCCATACACACACACGTTCATATTCATGATATAAATATACAAGAAACTGTAATATCCATAAGCCATGACTACATGTGAAGATGTTAAAAATTGCTTCATGGTAATCCATGTGACGATTTTTTTAAAATTTTTTATTGCAAGAATTACCACTAATTTTTTTCAATATAATTTATTGTTTTCCATTTTTTAATATAATCATATGACAAATAAGTACAATTAAAGTTTTTTTTTTTTTGCCAACAATGGGAGGTATATCCCAATGTGATTTTTCTAATTCATAAGGTTGGACCCTCCACCTTGCTTAAAATTTCAATTATACAAATATAATGCTTGGATTGATATTAAGCCAAGCACCATTAATATTCACAAGCAAGGTTTGATAACAGAGTTGGTTTCAGTATATATGTCCCCCCCCGGGGGGCGGCCCCCGGGGCATTAGGTGGTCTTGCAATTCTGTAAAACGCCTTGTCCCTAGGCTTCCAAATTAATACTATTCTGTAAAACGCCTTGTCTCAAGGCTTCCAAATTAATAATATCTCCGGTCTTTAATATAAAAAGCTTATTTGATTTTTATTTTAGTTTTAAATATAAGACTTCAATCTATTTTGTCTCTCATATTTATCTAATTTTTTTTAAAGTAGTCTTTGTAATAATAGTAGTTCTAGCTAATACACTTTATTAGTAAAGATATTTAAAACAAAAGGCAACACATATTTATTACAAATAATTAACTTTATTAGTAAGGATATTTTAAAAAACAGACAACTCATATTTATTATAAATAACTAATTTAACTAATTTTTTTAATCAGTTCAAATTAGTCAATTAACTCTTCTATTAAAAATCTGAGGTAGTATTAGATTAACCGAACGTAAAAGAATGGTTAACCCAAGTTGTGTTCTCTTTTAAGAAATTCCGGCTGACACGTACCACCCCGCATACAGGCTGGCTCGGAGGTGGGGAGGTGTTGAGAGGGTAGGGGTTTTCTTAAAGGGAGCTTTTAATAACAGGCTTCCTACTAAAGTTTGGAGGAGCATTTGGTCTTCATATTCTCCAAAATGCTCCTATTGTTGTACAAAGAATGAGAACACACTGCATGTCCTAAGGGATTGTGTCTATGCTAAACAAATATGGATGGCTTTTATTAAGCCAAGGCATGTTTCCTCTTTCTTCTCTCGTTCTTTGACTAATTGGTTTTCATTAAACTTAAAGAAAAATGGGAAGATTGTTGACATAGAGAGCTGGGATTTACTTCGGGGAGCAATTGTCTGGAAATTATGGGTATGGCGTAATAAGGCGGAATTTGAAAACAATTTTGTGAGACCTATTGATCTTGTGATGGCGGTTAGACAAGGTTGAATTACACAATGAATTTTGATACTTTAATAGAATGAGTTTAATTTAGTGCTTATTTGGCAGGGTTTAAATTGGCCCATAAGCCACTTATTTTGGGCAAAAGCCCGATTGGAAAATCATATCATGTTTGGGAGGGTTTATATATAATTGGGCTTGTCTTTGATGAGCTACCTAACTATGCATTTTAAATTAAGCTCCTAGGAGGAGCCTATTCTAAACCATTGGTGGTGTGTCAGAAATCATTCTTTTTTTATTTTTCTCTATGCCATTAACCTATTGCCATTTCAAGGAAAAGTAAAAGGGAGCGAATTTTCGTGTTTGTCACTCGAAATCTCTCACCCGCCTTTTTGTGTTTCACTTTAAATATTTAAAATATTTTGTATGATTTTTCTAAATTTTAAAATTTAATTCACTAATTAAAATTTATTATGCAAAATCATTTTTTTAAATAATGTTTCATTATTTATTAAAACTCATACCCATTTTGAAAATTTTATAAACAAATTTACTTTTATTCAATCATAATCCAAATGATTTTTTATTAATATCACTTTTACGAACTAACTTTTTAAAATTCTAATCCAAACACAATACACTTTACCCAATTTAACTTTTACACAATCTTAGGCCCCGTTTGGATCTCTGTTGGGGATGAAAAAAGCATATAGGAAAGTGTGCAATTGACTTTTGTGGCTATGGGAAAAAAGTAACTTATTTTCCAACGCAATTCAGAGCAACTTTTCCAATTGCTTTTTTCAGTCATTTTACAAGTGAACTCACTTTTTTATTTAATCATTCAAATAATTTTTAACTTTTTTAATTGACTTTTTATAAGTACATATCTAAACATAAATCGCATTATACTGACTGACTTTTACTCTAACTTTAGTTACAAAAATCAATTAGATTAGAAGTCAGTTCTGCCCAATACCAATCCAAACGCATCCTTACTTTTCTAAAAATCAGATTAGAAATAAGCTACTTTTTCCACTGTCAATCTAAACATACCCTTAATGTGGACGGACTATGGAACGTCAATTTTCAAGGGCAAGTTGGGGGGGGGGGAGTTTTAAGGGATTCTGGTGAGAACTAGATAGATGGTTTCTCTTTTCACATTGGAAGTTGCATTGTTAATGAAGTTGAAGAATGGACCATATATTGAAGGGATTGAGGTTGGCTTGGGATTTTGGTTTCAAGAAGATCACCATTGAATCCGATGCAAAGTGGTGAGTGAATAATCTTTTAAAAGAAGTTCCTCAACAAAATTGTAGCATCATGTTGAATCATATTAGAAGTATACCTGAGTATTCTGGGGAAGCAAAGCTGGTTTACATTCCTCAAGCGTGCAACAATGTCGCTGATGCCTCAGCTAAAAGAGGGATTTCTGAGACTCCGCTTTGAGGTTTGTCCTCTTTTTCTTAGGGAGATTGTGGAGAAAGAGATCGTGGGATTTAATCTTGAGTTGTTTAGTTTTTATAGTAGGGCTTGACCCTCTTTTATACCCAAAAAATATATACATTATTGCATACAACAACTATTTTCCCAATGTTTTCTAATTCACTCAAATTTCTGTAGCACTTTACAAATTAATATTCATTCGCTTCGCTTCTTAAATCTTTTTCTAGCCATTCCTTGGATATAATTGATATTTTGTTACCTTTCTTCTCCCTCGATTACATGACATCCACTTAAGGTGTGTAACTTTATCATTTTAATATAATCGATCTTTATATATATATATATATATATATAAACTGCTTAGAAATCTATTTATATAAATAGGTCAGGCATTTTTAAATCAAAGATGGCGCCTGACACCGACCAAGCCAGCCCGGCTAACCAAATTTCCAAAGTCTACAGGGAGACATGGGAGCTTGTTCGACTAACGAAAATAGGAAAGTCAGGCGTTACAGGCTCCAAGCCCCAACTTGGCCTGTTTCCATGCTCAAGTGCATTCAATAAGAGTAAAATTTTAAAAATTGTACGACTTTTCTGACACGAAATTTTAAGTCTTACCTTTGATAAGTGTTATAGGGTTAAAAACTTACATATGATTTATAATAAGGAAAAAAGAGACCTCGGTACATTTGTCACAATTTTTTTAATGTAAAGTGATAACTTCATTAAGCAATGAAAATACATTCACAAAACCAGATAACAGAACAACCAGAGATCTTTCATCAACCTCAATCTTCATAATTTTTTTGAGCCAAATTTGCTAGATCTTAGAGGCCTCCAAATAAAAATGTTTCCTAGGCGTAAAAGAGACACACCGATCCTAGTTTCTTGGGGGGGGGGGGGGAACCCTTATCTCTGGCTTCTTTTCTACTCGTGGGACTTTAACGGCAAAATGTACCATACTTCATTTAGTGTTGCTCCAATAAAAGGATATGGGAAAAAAGACCATATTCAGTTAATTCGCAAGGCTACTGAAAAAAAAAAAAAATTGCCATCACAGAGGCTACTGAAAAGTAAAGGGTCATCACCTACAAAACCATGCCTTAAGGAGATCCATACCCATGAAACTCCCTTTCCGAGTGTTAAAGAAGCAAGGCCCCCACTTCATAGATAGAAATTAGAGTTTATTGCCCAGTTCTTTCAGTTTCAGTCATAAATTATAGGACCTTGGTTTATATATATATATATATATAGAGAGAGAGAGAGAGAGAGAGAGAGAGTCATTTGCAGCAGTGCAAGCAGACCAATCAACAAAAACTAAAGACGAAAATGCATGCATGAAAAGGATGTGGCCATGGCTAGTGACAAACCAAATACAGCATAAGATTTTACATTGAAATCTGCAAGTTTAATATTAAAGGAAAGCTTATTATTAGACAGTGAAACAAAGGAAATCGATGCCAGAGACTTGCATTTCTTAGTTCCCCAACAGTCCACCTGCAGAGTAATGTACTTGTAAGGAATTTGCAGAAATTATTATAGATAAATTTCAGAAGAAAGCTGAGAATAATGTTATAATCATTGCTTCTTATTCAGTTGTCAGTAATCCATAGAACTCAAACATAAGATAGTAATTTGCAGAGCAGACAGAGCACATTTATGAAATATGTTCCTTTTATCAATACAAAGCTCCACAAGACTAACATTCTATGGTTGCACTAAATTATTATTTAATTTTTAACAGTAGTGTGTGCATATAAGAGTAATTTCTAAGCATAAGTTTAACATCATACCGAACAACCAGATTACATATCCTAATCTCAGCTAATTTTTCTCTCAATATCTGCACATTCACCAAGTACATACAAGAAATTATGCTGTTCTTGCTTCCATTGAGGTTATTTTCAATAACAACGTAACAAGCTATTCAAACATCAGACAGCAAGTACTACTAGTTTTGGTGGGAATGGGGCATTTGGCGAGGAAGAGAGAACTGTAAATGATGAGCACCCAGAGGATAGAGGATATGAGTACAGATTGTATTGTTGAGGTTGTTACTTTTACCAGACATGAAACAAAGGAGATGATGAATACCATGAGTGATCACTCCATTTGTGACTCTCTTGGTGATGTGTTTGATGGAAGCCATAGGCAGTGGTGTTTATGCATGCAGCCGGTCTTTCAATTAATGTCGTGAAGTAAGGGCATAGGAGCAGGTAATAGAATTTGGGTCCATACACATTTTCCAACTTACGTTGACCAAACTATTAGAAGAAAGTATCTTCTTCCGAACGACCTCTGGTAACAGGTTTCTGTCAGTGAATCAAGTTCAGTATCTTGGCACAGCAGATGTTCCTTCTTCCACAAAATCATGAGAGCAGTCAGCTGAAAAATTTTACTTCCTAGGTATCCCTTTTTATTCAACATCATTCACCGCAAAAGGAACTTCTGAAGGCTGATAGTCACATGAAAGCAGCTGATACGAATTCAAAATCTGTTTCTCAAGGTTTTTATGACCACAATGTGGTTTGAGACTTAGTTTGTGGCTTATGGATCTAAGATATTTAAACAGGTATTATTCTACGTGTAAGGGCAGTTGTTAAGGTGAATTTCAAGAGTTAGTTGATTGCCAAACCTAGCAATTATGAGGCATTGGGCAAGATAAGGTTGCCAAATATTTTGCACGTACACACACACTAGAGCAAGGGACTTTAAGTGAGGAATGTGAAACAGTTCAATTAACTCATGTCAATCAATTTGATTCAAGCCTAACTTTTGTTGAACAGCTATCTGAGTTTTCCAGGTTCAGGACAGTTAGAGCTACGTCTGCAGTCATGTCAGCTAGTTCATCTACTATAAATGCATATGCAAGCCCCAGGCTTGAGAAACTATCCAATGATGTGTCTCGTTTGCCTTCATACCAAGACTTTGACACCTCTCAGAGCTTATCACAGGCCATGTATTGGAAGAGTATCTATCAATTCCTAGATGAAGTCTCTTTGGATGTTCTTGATGACATACTCCAAGTTGAGAGAAATATACAGATGTGATTTTCTTTAATATCAGGGTAACAATCTTCTGGAAACATATTGTCCGAGCAGGAATAATTTGTATAGGTGTAATCTGAGGGAGTGAATGCCTAGAGAAAATACCAGAGTTGGTTGTTGGATTTCCTGAAGGTTTCACACAAGGGAGGGAGTTTGTACAAGATGCCAACAGTAAGTCCGCAGAAAGATTTATTCTCACTGCTAAGGCAAAGCTAGTGAAGGCTTATGAAAATTACTGACTACGAAGAAGCCAAGCCTAGGATCTGTTCAGTTACTCATCCAGCTCATCCTTCAAACTAACAGTGAAATCCAATGTAAATTCTTCCTCTCCTCACAAGGCTTATCATTTGCAACACATTAATGTCAGTAGAAATAAGGGGATAAAAAGGACGTTGAAATGAACCAGTCACACAAAGAATGAGGCGGAGATGGATAAAGGGGTCTGAGTGAATATATGGGAAATTTGAGGATCAAAGAGGGCAAGGAAGATTTAGCTTTAGCTGGAGAGTTTCTAACCTCTCAAGAGCTAGACATGTTTGTTTCTTACCTCTTATATTGTTGTTGGCCCATAGTTATTACTTGTTTCTAGTTGCGTAAAGGAATGTACGTGCTACTTAAGTGTAGGAAAGAATTCTTCTATTTTGATTCTGTTATTCAGCAATACCTAGAAGTTTTCATCAGTATTTTGTGAAGTTTCATAATTCTACATGATCATATTTATATGACAAGTTGAAAGCTGCCTATGCATCTGCAACTAATGTTAACAATATGATATCAATTTGGTAGTAGAAAAATCAATCTTCCATCGTTAATCTATATATATATATTCCGTAGTTTGAGCTTTAATTCAAAACCCACAGGAAATAATCGACCCAGATCTTAAGATTCTACAACATCACACGGAAATTTTAAGCAAAACTAAATTACTCTTTTTTAATCTTGTTCAAGAAAAAGAACGCGAAAACAGAAAACATTGGGATGAAATTCGAGAATGAATCCACCTTTCAAGTGGAGCATTACATGCGACCCATGATCAGTGAGAAGCATGAGACGAAGACGAAGAGTGAGAGTGGTGAGAAGGAGCGTTGATCCTATTGTAGATTTGTTCACCAACGAGGTAGACACCGAATGCCACGAGGGCGATACCAAGCCCAGGGGTGGCATGTCGCAGCTGATTCGAAAGCATAGGATGCTTCCTCCACTCGTCCCTCCTCCTGAAAAACTCTCCGGTGTGTCCCCTCGCCATTTTCCGAAATTCCTCTTCCCTGCTGCGTTCTCTCCGCACTTATTCGGCGACTTCACTCTTCAGCCGTGGGTTGCTCGCGGTGATGCTACTTGGGCTTTTTTGTCTAAGTAAACCAGTGATGCTTGTGGGCTTGGCCCAATTTGGATAATACAGAAAATTAATTTCTTAATCCTCAACAGTTCACATAAGTTTTAACTAGTCCTTGTACTTCTTTTAATAAAGTACTTAAAATTTTCCCGATTATTGACATTCATCTCTATATTCATAATTTGTTAACTAGAATTAATTTTAATTCTGACAAAGTGAAATGTTGGTTTCTCATAATATAAGACATTTAGCCGTTTTAAAACGTTAGCCATGGCATAAAAAAATTAAACTACACAATCCAACACTCTATCGGAGTTAAAAAGAGCAATTAGACAATAAAATTTAATCCAATTGATGAAAAATCAGCTCATAACTCAATGTCATGAGTTCGAATTTCATTGCCAATACGAAGGACTTTATTCTATAAGTACTCTCAAAGCTTTCTTGTATTTTTTGCACTATGTTTTGCAACTATTTTGTAAGAGAATTCGCATGTTAGTTGTCGCAAACATGTCCTTTTGTTACAGGGAATGACACAAAGACCACTATGTTTCTATGTCATTCACTGCAGCAATTAACATCAACCAAAAAAAAAACCTATCTCTGGTCCTTAATATAAAATCTCATTTGATTTTTATCTTGATTCTAAATATAAGACTCCAATCCACTTTGTCTTTAATATTTATCTATTTTTTTCAAGATAATCCTTCTAATAATAGTAGTTATAACCCATATACTTGATTAGTAAGGATATTTTAGGAAAAACAACACCTATTTATTACAAATAACTAACTTAACTCATTTTCTTAATCTATTCAAATTAGTCAACTAGCTCTTATATTTAAGATTGAAGGTAATATTAACCTTTAATTCCACATAACTTAAGGCTACACTAATCCTCAAAATCAAAAACTAGGATAGTACATTAAGCGACATATAAGTTGCTACAAAATACTATATTTGATCTTTAATATAAAAATTAGTTAACTAATTTGAGTGGATTAAGAAAACTAGTTAAGTTAGTTATTTGTAATAAATAGATATTGTCTTTCCTTAAATATCCTTGTTTTTCAAGTGTCTTGACCAAAACTACTATTATTACAAGAATTACTTTGTGAAAGAAGGATAAATATGAGAGATAAAATAGATTTGAAATGTTATATTTAGCATCAAAATAAAAGTGAAACAAATTTTTATATTAAGAACAAAAGTAGTATAAAATAAAGAGGTTTTGTAAAAATAAAATAGTGAAAAATTCATGTACAATCAACATAAAAATTTTAAAAAAATTATTATCCTCACAACTGTCTCCTTGCATCTATATTATATGTAGTTTGTAATCCAACTAATTTTGTGCAAAATAAATCTATGCGTGTGTTGGGAGACAATAATGTCATCACCAACGTAATTGCCTTGACAAATTGGAAAATTATTTAAGGAGAATTATCAAGAGGCGTCAAAGGAGAAATTTAATTATCAAAAAGTCATGATGATAAGTGACCGGTCTGAATTTATTGTAATTCTCCATTCTTGAATTTGTCAAAACTTACTATTTACTTTTCAATAGCTTTAATATAATTAAATTTTTTCTATTAAAACCTTATTGTAATTCCTCCATTTATTTATGAAGGAAGTACGAACCGCGGAATATGCTTTGCACTGTAGCCCGCCACAACATGTGGCTCTCGAGGAATATGAAGGTTTTCGACGGGGGCTATGGAATCTCCCGAGGCTTTCAAAGTGTTGTATCGCTTGTAGTTTTGTTTTCTTTCTTCATATTAAAAAAATTACAAAAACCCAATTGAAAAAATTAAAAACTTGATTAAAAATAAAATGAAATTATAAGACCTAGCATATTAACTAATTTTTTCATATACATATTAACTAAAAAAATAGAATTATATATAAGGTTATGCAAATTAATTTAGAAGTTTTTATTTAGAAGTGTTGGACATTCAAAAGTTTTGAATTTATATTTGTCCTGAAAATTTAAAATCACAACATATTTTCCTCTATTATAAAAAAAAACTAGCAGTAACAATTAAAATAGTGACGTTTACTATTAACCTTTTTAATACTAAAAGCAATATTGTTACTATTTTAAATTTTTTGAACAAATTTGCATCAAAAAAAATTTTAGGTATTTAGTGCTCTTGAGTGAATATTTTTATGACGAATTTTGGGTGTTAACCCTAGATATATAATTTTGATGTCTGTAATATGTGAATAATTGATATTCAAATTTTTTTAATCATGGATAAAGAATATAATCCGTTCAAAGAGGGGGTTAATCTTGCAAGGCGTTATCTATTTTATGAAGAAAGAAAAATGTGAAAATATAGGCCTTTCATAGTTTAAAAGGCATATTTTACCTTTAATAAAATATTTTGGTGAAAATTTCATATTTGTAATAAGAGTAAATTTGCACAATAAAGATATGTTTGGAAATGATCTCAACCCATAATACACATACATACATATATATATATATATATATATATATCAATTCCTACTGAAATTAATCAATTGTAGAGGAGTTGAAATTCAAATTGATCATTCAATTAGTCAATTACGTCTGCTAGTAGGAAAAGAAAAAAAATGAAAACATTGACCAGAAGACGTTTTAGCGTTTTACTTTGAATAATGAGTTTAAAAATGAGTAGAAAATACATGATGAGAGAAGAATGGTTATTATATGATATTATACCAAACAAATTTTCCCGAATATTATAAAAATAATTAGTAGTAGTATTGACCAGATAAAAATAAGTTTTACTGTTTATAAATTTATATACAATTCTGTCATTATACATTTTATCCTATACTAAATTAATGTTTAATATTTTGGTCGCAGATATTTAATATTGATGTAATTAGTTTGGCAAAAAAAATAATTTAATATTATGTTGAAACACAAGAAACTGAAATATTTTCTGTAATACATGTAAGAATATTTTTTGTAAAACAGTATGTTGTGTAGTATAATCTAACAAATCAAATGAAAAGGATGGGCACAAAAAAAAAAAAATCAAATGGAAAGATATCCTTCCGCAGTTCCGTGCATAAGAATAGTTCGTTCTTATTTGTAATAAACACTGTTTAAAACTTTTAATATTTTTTTAATTTCTGTTTCATTAACTATTGATTAGTCTTAGAAATTGTTTGTACTTACTCCATTAATCTACCTGCTCACTCTTTTTCTGTAGATAAGAGTATTTTTAAAAAAAAAAAAAGTGACATTTTGACATGTTTATCATGTTTTTCACCAATTTTAACTATTTTTTAGTATAATTAAGTTATTCATATTTTTATAAAAATTAGTAGAGGATTTATTTTACAGTATATATTATTAACGCTATTTTCTTTCTCATTGAATCGATGAGAAGGGAATGCCAACCTGAAGAGAAGTGTTTAGAGGGTGTGTGTTAAATTTTTTTTTTTATTTCCTTTGTAAAAATACAATAATATAAACTTGTAATGCAATCATTCAATGTTCTGAAGCATTATATCTCCGGAGCACATGGCATTTTGTATTAATTTTTGGTAGAGCTAATATCTTATAATATTTTTTAGTAGTACTCAGAATTCTAAACTAATTTTTGATTCATAAAACACTCTAAAATATTTTTTTCAATAACACTTAGTAGTATCTTAAATTAATTTATAATGTATTTACTATCTTAAAGTATTTTTTTCAATAGCAATCAGGATGCCCTAAAAATTAATTTATAATTTGAGTGTCATTGAAAAAATAATTTTAGATCATTCTATTGGGAAAATTGTAAATAAAGACCCTAATATGTAAAATTATAATTTGGGACCCGAAACGTGGAAAATAGTAAATGAGAACTAGGTCTCACTTTTACAAATATGAAATGTGAGTGAGATGTCTGAAATGTCTCTCAGTTAAATTGTGATCTGGTCTACTGAAATTATCATTTTTCACAGTCAATTTGTCATTTAGCATACTATCAGCCAAGTTGTGACTTGGTCTACTGAAATTGTCATTCATTAAAGTAAACTTATCATTTTTCATAGTCAACTTGTCATTTGGCTGGGGCCATTTTAGATATTTTATCACGATTTCATATTTGTAAAAGTAAGATCGGATCCTTATTTGTTATTTTCCAAATTTAAGATCTCAAATCATAATTTTACATATTAGGGGTCTTTATTTGCATTTTTCTCTATTCTATTATTTTTATAAAAATCAATAGCCACAATAGGAAAAGGCTAACGCCTCAAAACGATGTCGTTTGGGGAAAGCAGACTCCTATACGCTACCTGCCATCTTTGAATCCTAGACTGCTCAAAGTTGAAAGAGTTGGGACACTCGGAAAACGTAGCAATGAATCTCTTTCATTTTACAATCCCCAAACAAAAGAAGAAGACAATGACCTCACATCACAAGGTCAAAGTGAAGTCTTTTCTATAACATCAATCAATATTGTTTGCAAAACAGTATGTTACATGTAATCTAACAAATCAAATGAAAAGATATACCTTCACGGTTCTATGTATAAGAATAGTCTGTTCTTGTTTATAACAGACACTGTTTTAAACTTTTTAATATTTTTATTTTTGTTTTCATTAATTATTGGTTAATCTTAGAAATGGCCTGTTCTTACTCCATTAATCTACTTACTCACTCTTTCTCTGTAAGCAAGAGTATTTTCTTTTTTAAAAAAAAAAATTGTGACATTTTTACACGTTTATTGTGTTTTTTCACCAATTTTAACTAATTTTTTTACAATGTAATTAAATGATTTGTATTTTTATAAAAGGCAGTAGAGAATTTATTTTACAGTATATGCTATTAAGTCTGCTTTCTGCTCATTCAAATATTGAATGGATGAGAAGGGAATGCTCATCTCCAAATAGTAGCGTTTGGAGGATGTGCATTAATTAATTAATTAATTAATCTTTTTGTGAAAATACAATAATGTAAAACTATAATACAAGCA